AGATGCAATTGCAAGGCTCTCGTACTTCTATAAGCACGAGAGCTGTGGTCAATGTACACCATGTAGGGAAGGCACAGGGTGGCTTTGGATGATCATGGAAAGAATGAAGGTTGGCAATGCAAAATTAGAAGAGATTGACATGCTCCAAGAGGTGACGAAACAGATTGAAGGGCATACCATTTGTGCATTGGGTGATGCTGCTGCTTGGCCAGTTCAGGGCCTCATTAGGCACTTTAGACCAGAGCTAGAAAGGAGGATCAGGGAGCACGCAGACAGGGAGCTACAGCAGGCTGCTGCTGCTTGATTGTTGTGAAAGGTTTGTTCTTAAACCTTTCTATTACATTTACACTATAATATTGATAGTAACCATGGATCCTCCACCGGATAAAACAACACTAAAATACTTTTACTTTATATTTTGGTCCTTTTTTTGGGTTGGGTTGGGGGGGGGAGGGAGGTGGTTATTGGGTCTTTTTGATGCTCTTATAGTTCGGATTATTAACGAAAAACTCTCAGGAAATTTGTCTCATTTCTCCTCTTGTGGTATTACTGACCTCTCCTTGACCAATGCAAGTCATCAATTATATTGTTATGAAAAAGCATAATATCTGTGCTAACTTTTCCTTTACCCAACCCATAGAGAGCAACACTTCTTTCTCTCAATATAAGAGAAACAAAGGCACCAAAAAAAAGGACCAAAAAAGTTGCAGATTTCAAATGCTTTCTAGTCATATCGCTGCAAGTTTAGTGGATTTTACATGACAACCCTGTGCATGGTGATGAGGTGTTCTTTATTACTGAAATTGAGGGACACATCTCCCAAAAAATATAGAAATAAAAAGAAAGCCTGAAGGATGTGGGTGTACTATCCAGCTGATTGGATATAGCAAAATGATCTAATCAGAAATGCTATCTTCATTTTCTGCAAGTTCCATCTTTATGTATGAAGTTAGGGATATCTCTTGTCAATGTTCATCTTTTGCATTGCTACAGAGTCATTGTTACAAGCTCTTACCCTTTTGCAATTTTAAGCACTGACATGTAATTTGACCCTCCAATCATTACATCATTTTAATTAATTGTTTCCCCTACCACACCTCTGCCTTCCCCCTTGCGACATGTCTCTGCCAAACGATGATTTCGATGCACCAACTTGGGCAATAATTAGTTACATGTACTTGTCATAGCTATTTCATAATTGTTGTCTCTTCTTTTTCCAGATGTTTGATACCATGGAATAAATTTGAGAAGTACCAGAAGTACGAAAGTAAGAGGGGAAAGCAGGATCCAAAGCTTCCCTATCGAGCCGCCTTTTTTATTGTGAAGTTGTGTGAACTATTTTTAACTGTTGGTACAACGGGTACTTTATGTTTCAGAGCTGGTACATCTAATGTCTTATGTATGAAAGATACATTATCATTCCCATGGCTTTGATAGTTGAAAGATGCATAGTTTTTTGTCATGTGTTAAATAAAAGCTATACTTTGGCGATCCTATTCTCCACTAAAAGCTTGTGAACTTTTGGCCTAAACTCTTTGTTGCTCAATGATATCATCTGCTTAAATCCTACCCCTACTTATGTCCATTCTGCTCTATTTGGATTCTCTCATTCGAGACTGAGCTTTTGACTTTTGAAGTAAACTATGGATAGGTCCTCGAACTATCAAAAAAGTTAAACAAAATTATCAGGTCAATGTCTTTACGTGAGTCTAAACACTCTCAATTCCTAGTTTTCTTTCCCATTATATCAATTTTCAACTAGTGCTGACTTGCAATATAATCCCCAGAAGTCTAATTACTGATTGTTTGAGCATGAAACAGAAACTGTTCAATAAGCTTGTAACATTCCTCAAATCTAAAAAACTGTCAAGACACACTCAATATAGAATTTAATTTTTTTAATCTTGTCCTGAGTGCATAAAAATTATACTTCTATTCCGGATTTAAACCCTTATGATTGACTTTTGAGTTACTTATATATATTTATAAATAATTGGATATACAAATAGGGGAATATTAATAAAGTTAATATTATTAAATTTTAGGAGTGAGTATCATTAAATACTAGTTAAGTAAAAAAAAAAAAAAAGAGAGCACGTAAGGATTAACCTAAAGCCCAAAGTGGGCTGTTGTAAGAAAAAGGCTTAAAGCCTTGACGAAATAGCAAGAAACAAATTTTACTTTTAAAAGGCAAGAAACAGAAGCAGCCTTGCTGCTCCCCAGCGAAATACTCACGCAACAGGAAGTTTTAAGTTTCTTCACAAATCACTAATTCATGAACTCAAATATATAAAATTCCCTATTGTCAATTATCCTACAGTAGTAGTAGGTAAGAATTGAATAGTTAATTCTCTTCTTTCTCTATATCAACAGTAAGTTCAATATTTAGGTGTGAAATTTTGAAATTAATTAAAATACACTAGTTGTTGTAGAATCGATTGTTTGACGGGTATAAATTGGACTGGAACCTACATATTGGCTCGAGGAGTTTTGAGGTGAGTTGATATAACCATTTACTAAAGTGGTTTAACTCACAAAAATACGCATACAAGGTGTTTGATGAATTGCTTGAAAGAGTTAATATGTACTTAATTGGAGCGAGTGAGTACCTATTAACTTAAAATTATTCTAGCTAAAGTTTAGATGATTTATTCTGATATATGTGCATAATTTTTCAGAATTTTGTGTTATTCTTTTATGCCATTTTCATGTTGAAAATTCAATAAAAAAAACAAGAATCTTTAGAAATACTTTTGAATGTTTATTCCATGCTTATGCCATGCTTTACATTTAAAGATACTAGTATGAGTATGTATAGGTTGTTCCAGAAAAGATTGACTTGAATGGTCAAGAAAGTTGAGAAGTTGATTTAGACCCTAGCGAGGTCACACAGAAAAGTTTATTATTAATATATTTTCAGCCCCAGGCATCCGGTTACCTTTGCGGATCTCCGCCGCCTGCTTTTGCGCTATTGTTACTTACGACGTCTCTTCTCTTACGCAATTCCTAACTAGTCCTCTATTTTGAGAAAGGTTCATCGTCCAGGCCGAGGGTCCTGACCAAGGCATTGACTTCCTGAAATGACTTGTACCAAAGTAGGGAGCACACGAGCCGAGGGTCTCGTTGTTGAGAATTTTCTAGCCAGGCTAAGGTATGATACATGGGCGCTGAGAACCATGAAGTGAGTGAGACCCCGTGGATTGGGCCTATTCGATCAGGTTGGGATCGAACCCCTGCCGATCACACAGTGACTAAGATAGAAATAAGTCATGATAGTTGGGACTCCCGAAGCATAAAGTGAAGTACTTTTTTTATAAGAAAGAAAAAGAAAAGGATTTCTTTTAGAATATTCATAAACTGCTATTATGCAATATTTTTAGAATTGTTCTTACAAACTTTATGTTTTTCATGCATTTAGAATCTTTCCTTGTAATGTATATTTTATTAAAATTTTGTTCCCTGCTTTAGTGGGGGTTGTTGAAACTCACTAAGTATAATGGATAGTACTGACGTTCTCTTTTGGGAACCTGCGGCGGTCTGCGGTACAACGTAGGAACCGATTTTGCATGTGAGCAAACTACAGGTTAGGACTTCCCTCTACTTCCAATGCTATTGGTGAGCTCCATTTTTGTTCGTGGAGTATTCCTTTGAGTCATCGTTATTTAGCTATTTCTTTGTTTACTTGGAGAACTAAGCAGGCAATCTCATGTCCTGAGCAGTGCGTCAGTTTATCAGTAGAGGCTTCATAGACACAGTCAGTGGGTTAAGATTCAGATGTTTTTGATAATAACTTCGCAGTATTTCAATAGTTACTACGAATAAAGTTTTGGAGTTGGTTTATTTAAGATATTCAAATTAATTAAAAGTATTTGATTAAATTATTGCCTTGTGGCATATAAAGTTTGAAGTTATAATAGTTTTGATAAGCGCAGATGGTTCGCTCGGTCAAATTTAGCGATCGGTTGCCGGTCATGACTTGTTCAGAAAATGGGTCGTGACAAAGCTACACTTATCAACTAGAAAACTGTTTCCAGTAGCAAAAGGGATGTGGGTTTAGGTGTCCAAAGAGTTAAATATAAGAAGAAAGCCATTCTCTTGGGGACGGCCCGAAGATTGTTTAATAAGCCTAATGCCCTTTGGGCACTGGTCTTAATAGGAAAACATTGTAGGATAGGGCAAAACAATAAAAGTCTAAAGACTTGAACCTGAAAGGGAATTATAGAAGGCTAAAATATTTTTGCTCCAAAGCTACTTGATGGACAGTCCACAAAGGAAATAGAGCCAATTTTTAGATGGTGCTTGGATCCCAAACCACCCACCAATCAGTGATTCAATCCATGGCTTTTCTTGCAGGGAAAGGAAAATATCAAAGTCCCCAACCTCTTTTCAAATGGCAACTAGGATCTATTCTCGCTGTCCTTCACAATACCTTACCAAATTCTTTTCTCCATCAGGAATGTTCTTAGCTGCCCACAAAGCTTAGAGAAAAATAAGTTAATATGGGGTCTTAGTAGCAATGACATATTTTTCACCAAGTCAGCTTCTATGTTTCTGGATGCTCAATGCAAAAATACAACCAACGATGCACGCACAATTTCAATTGGGTGTGGAGAATAAGAGCACCAAACAAAATCAAGTTCTTTCTTTGGCTAATAGTTCATGGTAGACTACGTACTGGCCAATACCTCCAATCAATTGGTCTCTATATCCAATTCTAGTGCACCTTTTGTGGCCATCTAGTGAATCAATCCCTTACATTCTCTTCATCTACACCAATGCACAAGCATTTTGGTACTCTCTCTCTCCCAGGAATGTACCAATGTTCCTAGTCTCCAACATCTCAACTTTGGTCAACCACAATGGTCAAACACATAGAGCATAACAGAAGCCATAAGTTTAACAACATCATCTTATGGGAAGACGTTCTCCACTTTTGTTTCTGGCACATTTGGACAACTAGGAACAACTCATTTAATGGTAAGGACACCACTTAAGTTAGGAACACTATTGATAGAGCCATTGAATTTCATCTAATTGTTGGAAAGCAACATGCATACAAGCAGATGGTCACCATTAATGTAAAATGGGAACCTCTTGACTGGGATTCCTACAAACTTAACACAAATGGTTCTGCTATTGGTATTCTATGAATTGGGTGAATTAGAGGAGTTATAAGGGACAATAGGGGATACTGAATTCTTGGGTACATGAAGGGACTACCACACACAAGTAACAACCCCGCTAAACTGCATGCCATTTTGCAGGGTCTGAAATTGACTAAGAAAAATAACCTAATGCCGTTGGAGATTAATAATGGCTCTAAAGAGGTAATTAATATGGAAGAAAAATGACACCTTTCTTACGACTCTTTTATTCTTCAATGCAGGTTATTGATGCAGCACCTGTGGAATCCAATACTAAAGCATAACTACAGAGAGCAAAACAGGGTAGCAGACTTGCTAGCTAAAGAATGGGCCAAGAAGAATTTTTTTGAAAAACCTTTGATTTTTGCAGTTTCTTCGGTGTTTGCCAATGAAGTAGTATGGTCAGATATCCTAGGAACTGCTTTTGAAAGACACGTTATAGCATGTAATATAAATACTACTACTAATAACACGCCATCTAGGCAAGGTCCAATATCCACCCAGTTATTAACTCTAGTTCTCGATAATTCATTTATTTACATATTTATGTTTAACAAAAAAAAGAGTATGAAAAACTTTTCTGGTTTTTATGACATACTACTCCATAGGGTTTTGTATTCGGAAAAGGGCAAAAAATACACCTATTATTTGGGTTATATTTTATAAATACCCTCTGTTGTTGAAAAAAAAAAGAAAAATATCTAAAATTGCCCCTCTACTATACTATATTATTTACTTCTGCCAACCATTATACTATTTGTCTATTCTAGCCCCTACTGTTAATGAACTTAAAATATTTGCCCCTAAACCTAACGGATCTGTACCGTGACAGCTGACCCACTCAACTTTTTTTATGTCAGCTGCCAAGTTATACGACCCTACAAAATCAAAACCTCGCAGACCCCTTTACATCCTCAATTGACGAAGAATTAGGGCTTACACGACCCCAATACAATTTTCCTCAGCCTTCAATGTCGCAAGGAAACTGTTCATCCCAAATTAGGTATCATTATGGCATTATTGCAAATCACTTCACTTCAACGACTCTTATAAACCCCGTAAAGAGATTTTATAAATGTCCGAAACCTAAGGATAGTGATCCTCTAACATAAGCTAGTTCTCAGTTTGCTCTAAATTCTAGTCTACTAATAAAGCTTTTTTGGTCTCCTTTGATTTGTTTGTGTTCGACAGATTAGTTCTTGTGGTTATTTTGAATAGGAAAATGAAATCTTCTTGAACAGTAATTTGGTTACAACCAAAGATTTAACATCATCTTTGGAAGTGATGAAAATTAATAGGGATAAACTAAAAGAAAAATTAGTTGCCATGGAGGCTCTACACCAAGCTAAA